AGGTCGTCTGGCAAGATGCTCGTTTAGACTGGCGTCCAGACACATCAAGTTCAATCTACACCGACATGCCGCTGTCACAAAAGTGAAATACCCGTAAGGGCGCGTTTTCTATAAATATAAAGGTTCTCCTCCTCTACCGCCCATTTTAGCGTCACTCATCGTCTGTGTGATGTTGCGATGCATCAGCTGTCTTACACCCAACATGGTGAGGCTCGGGCACCTACAGCTCAGATCTCGATGTTCTATGGGGAAGCTTTGTCGTGGAACTTTCCAACCCATTCGCTTATTGAGGGAAACTCCTTGGTTTATATTGTTTTGCTTGTTTTACAGGTCAAATCCTCGTGGCTAGGGCCTTTCATGATGTAATTTGGCGTCATGTTTAGTCTTAGAGGCGTTAGTGAAGAAACACCACCATGATGTCATGGAGCCTATCCTCTGTATATATCAAAGAGCTTAAGAACCTTTTGGCATCTGCATCAATCATATTCTATATACTAATCCATTAAATCAAGTAAACGCATTCATCTTTCCATCAACACATCAAACATTATGTCTACCAAGAACCCCAGCCACGGTCAAAAGGTAAGCATTGGCAAGCCTCGGGTTATACCAGAACTAACAGATCAGGTCGATCTCGGCCAGAACGCTCCCGTAAAGGAGGAGGGGGCTGGTACAGTCCCCAATGAGTCTCTCGCTGCCGAGTCCTTGAAGGAGGGCGGCGAGTTCGCCTCCAACGAGGGCATCCACGGCGAGAACCAACCCACCTCTGGATCCGAGAACACCAGCGCTGGCCGCAACACCGAAACCTCTTCTGCTCCCAGCTCCGGCTCTGACTCCAAGGCCAAGGCCAAATCCTCCAGCTCTGCTTCCAAGTCTTCCGGAACTGCCTCACAGTCCAGAGACTCTGCTCCCAAGTCTCTGGCCGGCACCGCTCCCAGCTATGTCGACAATCAGTATATCAAGGAATCTGGTCCTCATGGTAAGAACCTGAAGGAGGGAATTGACTATTCCAACACCAAGGATGGCCTCAAGAAGGCTTTGGAGTCTGAGCCTGGTAGCCAGGATGATCCTAGCAGACTTGCTGAGCAACAGTTCCAACAGAACCAGACTGCCGCTGGCCGGGATGCTGGCCCTAAGCAGAGTGAGCTTGAGGGCAAGACTCCTTTCGATGCTCTTAAAAACGAGGCCTCCTCTTAATTTGGGAGATCATAATATCTGTACTATAGCGGCTGTTCAATGATGAAATGACTTTATGAAATTAAGAGTGGCCTATGTCTGTGACGCAATTTAGTTAATGATCAAAAGTGGCCCAAGTAATGGTTTGTGAAAAGGAATTCATTCTACATGACATCGCCATGATTTGAGAGGTACCATGTCGAGGATATCTACCAAACTTCGCAGACTTGGACGTAGTTGCTTGGCTATCAGGCTATTTCCCTCTATGTGGCATCAAAAGTATTTAGCATTCCATCGAACGAGGCGAGCATCAGCTTCAGTTCATCATGATCAGTTACAAGTTCGATTGCAGACAGTGTAAATGCCTGATACACGAGCACAAGGATTCAGCCAACAGCTGTTTCCAGGCGCAACAGGCGGCAGTCTCATCTTCAGGTGATAACGCCTCAGATAGTGGTGAGTTCCTGCAAAGAGGCAAAGTTGACTCGTAGGTTTTCAGAAACTCGACCGGTAAGTCCGAGTCAATACATCCAATCGAGAATTGTGAGTTTGTATGCAAAGCCACGGATTCGCCGTCCTTCAAGGTTGCCTGCACAAGAAGATGGCGGGCAGTGTGAAAATCCTGAAACTCAACAGCCAATCATATTGGGCGGATTGATGACGTCAGGTCAGAAAAAAAATATTAAAATTTGGGGTTTGATAGAGAAAGATAACAGCAGTTTACCGCAAAAAGCGCAGAACAAGTTGAGAATAGAGTCTGAGCAAGTTGGTTCCCTTGCGTACCACCTCAGTTATCAAGAATATTCTATAAATTGGACTCATTACAATCGCAGCTTATCGGAAATAATACATCTTGATGCCTTAGTTGGTGCCTGACTCTGTCGTCAGTCAAAAAATCTGTATGCCCCACCAAATTAAAAAATTCACCCCGCCTTCCTCTGGACACAACCACTGTAGAAGTTGAACCGGGAACTGACTGGAACCGCCACACTCATTGCTATTTGCTTGGCTGGTTTTTCTTTGTCGGTCAGGTCAACTCAACTTTTCCATCTCTCTCACTCTCTTCTTCCTCCCTCTTCATCGAACGGTCATTTTCCAAACCAACTCATATACCCCGGTTTGGACTTGATTTCTCAGACGGACATCCTCACCCCGCCGACAGTTTCCGTTCTTTCAACCCCGCGGTCTTTTTTTCCCCCTTTCCTACACACATCTTCATTATGGCCCCCTCTTCATCCAAGGAGAAGCGTCTTGCCAAGAAGGCTGCCGAGGGCAAGCTCAAGGGCAAGAAGGGCAAGAAGACTGAGGAGCCTGAGCTCGACGCCCACGGCAACCCCATCAAGGACGATGATGCCCCCGCGACTTCAGGCGCAAAGCTCGACGAGGTGAAGCGTCTCGCTGAGCAGATGGACAAACACGGTATCTCCGACCGTGTCACCACCGGTGTCCTCGCCTCTACTCAAACCAGCAAGGACGTCAAGATCACCAGTACCTCTCTGGTCTTCCACGGTCGAGTCCTTATCACCGATTCCACCCTAGAGCTCACCTACGGTCGACGATACGGTCTTCTCGGTGAGAACGGTTGCGGAAAGTCTACTTTCCTCAAGGCCATCGCCGCCCGCGAGTACCCCATCCCTGAGCACCTCGATCTCTACCTTCTCAACGAGGGTGCTCCTCCCAGTGACCTCGGTGCCCTTGAGTGGGTCGTCCGAGAAGCTGAGCTGGAGCTGGAGCGTCTCGACCACCAGGCTGAGAAGCTTCTCGAGGACGAGGGCCCTGAGAGCCCTGTTCTCCTTGATCTTTACGAGGTGAGTCAACACACAATAGTGCCAATGTACCAAACTAACATTTTACAGCACATGGACAAGCTTGATCCCTCAACATTCGCTACCCGTGCTTCCCTTATCCTGACTGGTCTCGGTTTCAACAAGAAGACTATCCACAAGAAGACCAAGGACATGTCTGGTGGTTGGCGTATGCGTGTCGCCCTTGCCAAGGCCCTCTTTGTCAAGCCATCCGTTCTCCTTCTCGATGACCCCACTGCCCATTTGGATTTGGAGGCCTGTGTGTGGCTCGAGGAGTACCTCAAGAAGTGGGAGCGAACTCTTGTCCTTGTATCCCACTCTATGGATTTCCTCAACGGTGTCTGCTCCAACATGATTGACATGCGAGGCAAGCAGCTCATCTACTATGGTGGTAACTACGACTCTTACAGCAAGACTCGAACCGAGAACGAGACCAACCAGATGAAGGCCTACCAGAAGCAGCAGGATGAAATTGTTCACATCAAGAAGTTCATTGCTAGCGCTGGTACCTACGCCAACTTGGTCCGACAGGCCAAGTCCCGACAGAAGATTCTCGACAAGATGGAGGCCGATGGTTTCATCCAGCCTGTCGAGCAGGACCGTGTTTTCACTTTCCGTTTCGCCGATGTTGATAAGCTCCCTCCTCCCGTCCTGTCATTCGATAATGTCACCTTCTCTTACTCTGGCAAGCCTGAGGATGATCTGTACCGCAACCTCGACCTTGGTTTCGATATGGACTCCCGAACTGCCCTTGTCGGCCCCAACGGTGTGGGCAAGTCTACTCTGCTCCGCCTCATGACTGGCAAGCTTTCTCCCACCGGTGGTGTTGTTACCCGACACACTCACTTGAAGCTCGGTCTCTACTCTCAGCACAGTTCTGAGCAGCTTGACTTGACGAAGTCCGCTCTCGACTTCGTTCGCGACAAGTACGCTGAGAAGTCACAGGATTACCAGTACTGGCGTCAACAGCTCGGCAAATACGGTCTCAGCGGTGACTCCCAGACTGCCCTGATGGGCACTCTGTCTGAGGGTCAGAAGAGTCGTATCGTGTTTGCTCTGTTGGCCATTGAGAGCCCCAACATGTTGCTTCTTGACGAGCCTACCAACGGTCTGGATATTCCTACCATCGACAGTTTGGCAGATGCCATCAACGCCTTCAGCGGAGGTGTTATCGTGGTTTCTCACGATTTCCGGTAAGCACCATTGAATTTTTCTGATGAACGATGACTAACGATAATAGATTGCTCGACAAGATTGCCAAGCAGATTCTCGTCTGCGAGAACCAGACTATCCGTACATGGGACGGTTCCATCTCCGAGTACAAGAACTACCTCCGAAAGAAGATGATCAGCGCCGGAGCAGTCTAATGCTAAGGCGGAAAAGTTTACGAATTTTGATTTTATCTGGCACGAATGCATGAAAGGAAATTGACTATAGAGGCTAGGGGAGCAAAGAAAACTCAGGACCTTGACCCTAAGCGATGAAAGTGCTTAGGTAAATATAGCCTAAACTTAGGGGACTCTTCACTAAGTTTATTTTGGCACCCTAAATCAAGGTTCGGTGCTTTATTGCCCCCTAGGAGAGGATATTCAATCCACAAAAAGTTGATGAGATTGCCATTGGCAGTCATGTGGGTATTTTCATGGGTTTAAAGCGGCGGCGGCGCGGGTGGCTAGACCATCAGGATACTTGATACCTTATGATGGAATGAGACGGCCACGACGGACGACGCTACAGGACGCATGGGCATGGCCTCAGTAGAGAGGCCCGGAAGCGTTCACGAAGATGTGGAAATGTTCACAGATAGATTTTTTTTTTCTTTAGGTCTGGCTGTTTAAGCCTTGAGTACGAATAAATGGATTCCATAATAATTATTTGCATATATGTGATTTTTATATTCGCCAAAAAAAAATATTATTTGAAGGTGTGATGCTTGTGATTCGAGACTCGGCGAGACTCGAGGCCGACGTAAGGCTGTTGACGCATATGGGTAAAGCTGTGGTCAATAAGTGAGCATCCATGGTGTTGAGAATAAACTCAATTCCTTATTTTTGTGTTCACATCAAAGTAGGGCTCTGTAAGTCCGTTTCGTCTGCATCATAATCCAGTGCTATCTATCTGCTGTTGGTGTTCTTTGACGAGATCGTCAAGGCTGAGAATAAGCCGGCTAAATAGTTAACTTCAGCCTTACAACGCTTGTCTTACCGACAGTAGTCGTCGAAGAAACTCAAGTAAGTGCTGTGCCAAAGTATTTTTTACATCAGCAGATCAATACAAACAAGCGCATTATCGTAATACTAAATGATGTGGTTAGCCAACGCCTACTATGTATGTGCATTCCTCTCCCCTACCCTACACAAAATGACAGACATATCATCTCGAAGCGATCTTCGGAATCTATCCCCGCTGCCGGTGACTGGGGATGGGCTGATGGGGAACCCAAAACTGGGTTAACGCTGTAGAGTTTAGCGTTGAGTCAGACCCACATAGGACGGGGGCCAACGGGACAGGGGACCGAGACTTGGGACCTGAAAAAATAGAGTGAGAAACGAGTCTGACGCGGAATCTGAGTGAACATCGTGTTCGCGTGTGCCTTGATTTGGATGGAGCTGTATTCGCACGCACGCACGCACTTGAATTTTGCCGTGATTACTATGAGGGTTTTTAGACAACAGCCAGATCAAAGCATCAGATGCAGCTGGACTCTGTCACATTCAGTGACTCAACACCTGGCAGAGCATACCTAGATACTGACCTGTAACCCCAAATTCAGATTGATCCTATCGCCAATTCCTCTTTAGGGAATCGTGCCTCGGTCGGGTCGGTGATACACAATTACAAAAATAATCGCTCTGATTGCTTCATCGTTGACTCGATCTTGTTGTGCAAGCAACTCTCATTTCAGTGGTGGTATTTTAGCACGTCAAACCCCCTAGAACCCCCCAGTTGGTGCAGCTCCTCGATTCCATCGCCGTGCCTCGATCAGCTTCTGCATCACCTCCTCTTGTCTCTTCTCTTCCTGGTTGTCTCTCTCTCCCGCTGTGTCAATAGGCTTTGTTTTCTCCACTGCCGCCCACACCACCGCCGTCGTCATTGTTCATCACAGAACGTGCCCTGATTAATGCAGACAGACGCTGTAATTATCCTCAGCAAGTACTCGTATCTCTTGCTTGAACCATTGGATCGCTATAGACTCGGCTCGCCTGGGCTCGCTTTGCCTTACCGGGTATCCGTACCTTGCTTGAGTGTTGATTGACTGGGCTGGGGCTGTCACTCCAGCTCCCGCCATCACCACCTCATTTTGGTTAACCTCCAGCTCTAGAACAAACTCCACTCCACTTTGTTGTTCCCCGATCCTTCTGATTCTCTTTACTGTTCACATTGTCATAATCCTTTCCCCCGCGGCTGTTCTTACACTTTACTGTAGCTTTGTTCGTCAATCCATTGGCCCATATCCCCCTATAAAACTCCCATATCTCTCGAGACTCTCAGTAAACATCCAAACTTCAGTATAGTAACCCTGTCTCGCATCCCCTTCCCCCATCTCGACTGCCGCTTGCATCGCCGCATCCCAGCGCCACGCTACCAACACCTCCACACCAAAACACTTTGCCCCCCAGCCAGGGCATCCTCTTTCGACTTGCCTTGGATTGGGGCTCAACCTAGACCTGACATTGTCGCGATCCATCACTGTCCATCGTTTTCATCCCACACGTACCTCTGTCGCAGTTCGCTGCATCACCGATCGCGACTTGCGAATCGCATCGCATCGCAACTCAGCCTGCAACGCAACGCAACGTAACGATTCCTCACACAGCCTCGCGTGCGCATCGCGAAACTCTGTTTGATCGACTGCGCATCTTTTACCGGACACATTAACTTCCCCCCCAAAAACCGTCGTCGCATCGTTGCTTGTCGAGCACATGGGTTCTCAAGCTTGATTACCACCGGCCGTCCGACTATAACACATTCCCCTGCTCTCTCGGTTGTTTAGCTTTGTTCTGTCTGCCATTCAGGCGCTAGACCATCAATCACCATGGATCAGAACGGCTATAACTCCTCGGTGCTGCAGCGGCCACCACAGAGAGAAGATGGTGGAGATGATGACCGAGACTCCCGTCCGCATCACCATCATCATCACCACCATCATCACCATCACCACAACAATAGGCGTGAAGGTGACTCAGCTGGACCTGGGCCTATAGTGGGAGAACCGGCGACAGCCTCATCGAATGCAGGCGGCGCGAATGTGCATCAGCACTCCACCTTTAGTCTGCGCTCACCCAAGTCAGAATACCGTCCTCCTCCCTTTACATCTCCCAACGGCCATAGCCATAGTCATAGCCACAGCCATCAAAACACTCCAAGTGCCGGCCATTCCCTTCACTCCCCGCCTCGTCCAGCATTGCCCAATCCCTACATGTCATCGTCCACGGGCGCACCCGGCGGCCCCGTCGCTCCATCACTTCCACCTCCTGTAGGCCTCAACTCATCATCACCCGGATCGTCAGCAGCAGGACTTCATCAGCAGCAGCATCATCGCCAACCTCCAGCACAACCGCCTGCTGGTCCTCCGCCCGTGTCGCCGCTGCACCCTCCTGTTGCATACTACCCTCCCGGGTCGAACCACGACATTTATATACCGCGTGAAACCAAACCTGCATCGCGAGGTTTTTACGACCCTACAACTGATACAACAAAGGAACGTCGAGTTTCTGACGCGGCGACGCCTGGAGCCTCCTGGCACAACGCCAACGCCAACGCCAACGCGCCCCCGGTTGGCACTCCAAAGGTAAGGGGGGCAAATCCACTCTTTTTTTGTCTTTGACTCTCGTCTCGTCTCGCCCGGACTCGATTTCATTGATTGCACCCGACGTCCCTTGATTTTCCTCTTCCCCATCATCATCATCCTTCAATTCTATCTTGATCATCGAGATCTTCACCCATCACGTCCAGGCCATCAATGCCTGCTTTCTTCCCTTACGCTTATCAAGCTTAATTTCCCATCAAACTGTCACTATCGCAACACCTTTTAATCTCATCATCACCCTTAACTCCGTCGCACAACCTCCCTCTGCTCCGACCAAGACCGAAACAACCACAAAGCTTGCTGGCGTGGAGCTAATTTTTCTCTTCTTGCACAATAGGCTCGCGACCCGTACCCTTATTCGCAATCTGCCGAACAAAGTACTCCTTCTTATTACAACGGCTCTTACACATCTCCACGAGGTCCATCATATAGTCGACCGCGAAGTCCAGCATCGCATTCGCATCAGAATCCTCCAGCTGGTTCTCTCAGCCCTCCGGGGCGACAATCTCTACTAGCTTCTCCAAGTGCGAGACATGGTGCTACGGCCAACATGACTTCTACTAACGGGGCTTCTGCCCTTACACCTTACAAGTCTGATCTTGCAGCTCCATCACCACCAAAGCCGGCACCGGCAAGCGTAGGTGCTGACCAATATACAGAATGTTCATTTGTACTAATACCATTGCAGACATCAAGGGCAAACCCGATGTCTTTTGACAGCATCCTCTCCAGCTCTGAGCCCGCTCGAAAACCCAAAGAACAATCGCCTTTAATTTCACGAGAAGCCGAACTCGATATCAAGCAAGAGCGAGATCCCAGACGTGATCGAGAACCGAAGCGCGACTCGCGGGAACCAAAACAGACAAAACGCTCCCTAGAGCCCGAAGTGGATCACGACACAGAGGTTGAAAAAGATGTCGAGACTGAGCCTGAACCTTTCCCTGGTAGAGACAAAGAAAGAGAGCCTCCTGCCAAGAAGCGAGGAGGTCGAAAGTCGACAAAGGGCCGTGCTTCTGATATTCGAGATGCCGCTACGCCTAAAAATGGCCGCAGACTATCGATTAAGAAGGAATCACCAACACCTCGACTTCCCGCTAAGCGACAAGCAAATGGCCTCCCTAAGCCAAAAACTTGGTCAGCAGAGATGGAGAAGAAGATTCAGAACGCCGAGACACAGATTGACAACAGGGCTTCAAACATGGAACCGGATGAATTTGATCAGCAGCAATACAAAGAGCGAGCTCAGAAGCGACGACGCGTAATGGATCAACTCGACCTGGAACATGGTCTCTCCCGGCGCGCCGCCTTTGCGACTTCAACCGGCAAGAAGCTCGTACTCCATGCAGAGCTTGGTAAACGACGCTACGACGACGTGTTTTATGACGAAGCACTCCATGAGGTCCGCGAACAAGAAGTCTACGCCGAAAAGGAGCGTAAGAAGGATATGCAGCGCAAGCGACGACGTGAGAAGTCAATGGCTGTTACCATGGAGCAGAAAGAAGCAGCCCTGGCTCGCGCCGAGGCTGCTGAAGACGAAACCGAACGGCAGAAACATCTTCGAGATGCTGAACGCGCTAGTAAGAAGGCACAGCAGACGAAACTCATTCTCCAAAAGGGTATCAAGGGTCCTGCCCGTAATTTGGAGCTTAACCTGGAGGGTGGCACCATGTCTTCATTCCAGGCTTCTGATGTGGAATCTGGGGAAGCCGGCACACCATCTGGCAAGCGAAAGGGCAAGGGCCGTAGCGGACCTCGCCTCAAAAAGTCGAAGGAGCAAAAGCAAGCCGAAAAGGATTCTGCTGAAGCCGCTCAAGCTGCTCTTGATGCCGGAGAGGAGCTACCAACCAAAGAAGAGAACCGGGTTCGGATCAAGATCAAGAAAACCAAGAAAGATCCTTCTGCTGAGAATGAGAAAGACAAGGACGACGGCGATAAGACCGAAGACGAGCCTGTCGAGAAGAAAAGCAAGAAGAGCAAAGACAAAGACAAAGACAAGGAGAAGGTCGACGACATCCCCGACAACGAGAAACGGTTCATGTCCAAGGGTTACAACCAGATTTACGACCAGATTTGGCGAGACATGGCTCGCAAAGATGTCAACAAGACCTTCAAGCTTGCTGTGGATTCTTATGCCACAAAAGCCTCAAATCTTAAAAAGACAGCCATCTTGGCATCGAAGGAAGCAAAGCGCTGGCAATTACGGACAAATAAGGGCACCAAAGATCTCCAAGCTCGTGCAAAGCGTGTTATGCGTGACATGATGGGCTTTTGGAAGCGTAACGAGCGAGAAGAACGAGATCTCCGCAAGGCTGCTGAGAAGCAGGAGATCGAGAATGCCCGAAAAGAAGAAGCCGACCGTGAAGCTGCCCGTCAAAAGAGAAAGCTTAACTTCCTTATCTCGCAGACTGAGCTGTACTCTCACTTCATCGGCAAGAAGATTAAGACTGATGAGGTAGAACGAAGTACCGACAACCCGGATGTCGCCAAGGACGCCCACCAGATTGACCAGCAGAAACTCGATATCGACGAGCCGACAGGACCAGTCACTGGCAAGGTTACCAACTTTGAGAACCTTGACTTCGAGGAGGGCAGCGAAGAGGCTCTCCGTGCTGCTGCTATGGCCAACGCTCAGAATGCCATCGCCGAGGCCCAGAAGAAGGCCCGTGACTTCAACAACCAGGGTCTTGACATGGATGAAGAGGGCGAGATGAACTTCCAGAACCCCACAGGCCTGGGCGACGTCGAGATCGAACAACCGAAGCTTATCAATGCCCAACTCAAGGAATACCAGCTCAAGGGCCTCAACTGGCTTGTCAATTTATACGAGCAGGGTATCAACGGTATTTTGGCAGATGAAATGGGTCTCGGAAAGACTGTACAGTCCATCTCCGTCATGGCTTACCTTGCTGAGAAGCACGATATTTGGGGCCCCTTCCTTGTTGTCGCTCCTGCTTCTACTCTACACAACTGGCAGCAGGAAATCGCCAAGTTCGTCCCCGAATTCAAGATTCTCCCCTACTGGGGTGGCGCCAACGATCGAAAAGTTCTCCGAAAGTTCTGGGATCGTAAGCATACGACATACCGAAAAGACGCTCCTTTCCACGTTTGTGTTACTTCGTATCAGCTGGTTGTCTCTGATGTGGCCTACTTCCAGAAGATGAGATGGCAATACATGATTCTTGATGAAGCCCAAGCCATCAAGAGTTCTCAAAGTTCTCGATGGAAGGCATTGCTCAACTTCCACTGCCGAAACCGCTTGCTTCTCACTGGTACACCCATCCAGAACAACATGCAAGAACTTTGGGCTCTTCTGCATTTCATCATGCCGTCACTCTTCGACTCACACGACGAGTTCAGCGAATGGTTCTCAAAGGATATTGAGTCTCACGCACAGAGTAATACAAAGCTCAATGAGGACCAGCTCAAGCGTCTGCACATGATTCTCAAGCCTTTCATGCTTCGTCGTGTCAAGAAGCATGTGCAGAAGGAGCTCGGTGACAAGATTGAGATGGACATCTTCTGTGATCTCACTTACAGACAACGCGCGTATTACAGTAATCTTCGAAACCAGATTAACATTATGGATCTCGTCGAAAAGGCTACCATGGGTGACGACCAGGATTCGGGTACACTGATGAACTTGGTCATGCAGTTCCGAAAGGTCTGTAACCATCCTGATCTCTTTGAGCGCGCCGAGGTCAATTCGCCATTTGCTTGCGCCTACTTTGCTGAGACCGCATCGTTTGTCCGTGAGGGTAGCGAAGTTGCCGTGGGTTACTCAAGTCGCAACTTGATCGAATACGAGCTCCCTCGCCTCATCTGGAGAAAGGGAGGCCGAATCAACAAGGCAGGCCCGGATAGTCAAGTTGCAGGCTGGAAGAACCAGGCATTGAATCACATGATGAATGTCTGGAGCCCAGACAACATCCGCGAGAGCTGTGATGGATCAAAGGCATTCTCGTGGCTTAGGTTTGCTGACACTTCTCCCTACGAGGCTTATGAGGCCACGCACCAAAGCTTGATTGTCCGAGCTGCCAAAGAGCTTCAGAAACGCGACAGACTTGGATACATGAATGTGGCCTACACTGATACTGAGGATAAGAACTACACTCCCGCCCATGCCCTTTTCCAGATTCAGGCGCGACAGAACCGAAAGCCTCTAGCCGACATTACCAGCGAAGGTGTCTTGACCCAATTGATGAATGTCGCTCAATCAGACTACAACGAGTCTGGTCTTGGCCGTCTGGAACCTGCTGGTAGACCTCGCGCTTCAGCACCTCCAATCCAGGTGTCTTGCCGCAGTTGGGGCTCTGAGGCCGAACGTAGCGAAGCCTTGTTTAACGCACCAATCCGCAAGATTCTCTATGGCCCTACCTTTTTTGAGGAGAAGGCTCTCGTGGAGAAGAAGCTTCCCATGGAGTTATGGCCCACTCGCGAGATGCTGCCTAAGCCTGATCATGAGAAGAAGGGCTTCACCAACATCTCTGTTCCTTCTATGCGGCGCTTCGTTACTGACAGTGGCAAGCTGGCTAAGCTTGATGAATTGCTGTTTAAGCTCAAGAGCGAGGGCCATCGTGTACTTCTCTACTTCCAGATGACTCGCATGATCGATATGATGGAAGAGTACTTGACTTACCGCAACTACAAGTACTGTCGACTTGATGGTTCTACCAAGCTGGAGGATCGACGAGACACCGTGCACGACTTTCAGACTCGTCCCGAGATTTTCATCTTCCTTCTGTCTACTCGTGCTGGTGGTCTTGGTATCAACCTTACATCCGCCGATACTGTCATCTTCTACGACTCCGATTGGAACCCCACCATCGATTCGCAAGCCATGGATCGAGCACATCGTCTGGGTCAGACCAAGCAGGTCACAGTCTATCGTCTCATCACGCGCGGCACAATCGAAGAGCGCATCCGTAAGAGAGCGATGCAGAAGGAAGAGGTTCAACGTGTCGTCATCCAAGGTGGCGGTGCAAGCGTTGATTTCTCAGGCCGTCGTGCTCCCGAGAACCGCAACCGTGATATTGCTATGTGGCTTGCCGATGATGAGCAAGCTGAGATGATCGAGCGCCGTGAAAAAGAGCTCCTCGAGTCAGGCGAGCTTGAGAAGCAGCAAAAGAAGAAGGGCGGCAAGCGACGTAAGGCCGAGAACACGGCCAGTCTGGATGAGATGTATCATGAAGGTGAGCAAAACAGTCTAACTTTACTCGTGGATTCCGAGCTAACACATATCAGGCGAGGGCAACTTTGATGATGGTTCCAAAGGCGTATCTGGTACAGCAACACCAGCTACCGCAGCCACACCTGGTGACAGTGATAGCAAAGGCAAGAAGGGTAGAAAGGGGACAAAGCGAGCCAAGACGGCGAAGCAAAGATTAGCGATTGCTGATGGTATGATGGAGTAAGGGAGGTCGACAGCGTTAACTAGCAACGCTTGTAATATCAAACGCAAGACTTGAGAGCCACATGGGCTCACGGGAAGACGAAGGGAGTTATTCATGTATCTGCTACGTTACTTTTTTCATTTTTCTGTTGTCATGGCGAAGGAACCGTCAATAGGGGGAGTTGGAAGTGAAAATGCCGATAAATTATAGCAGGGCAGCAAAGCATCGTCTTGGAACAAAGGCATGTATTATTACTATAGACGGAGGGTAACAAAGTATATGTGTCTGTCGTGTGTGTCGGCATTTCTCTCAGTGCTGTGTGCATGACTCGCGATAGGGCTGCCCGCTTCAACAATCACAAGCCTCGTCATCCGGTATGGTGTAGTGGCTAACATTTCGCGCTCTCATCTTCGAAGCTGAGGGATCAGTACCGCGGAGCCCAGGGTTCGATTCCCTGTACCGGAGTCATTATCTTTTGCTGGCGTTGACAATTTTATTTTGCTGATGCTGATTGATTGCTGCAATTGATGAGGATGGATGGAGGAGACCTGGTGGTTTAGGTGCTGGAGCCATCAGCAGACTGTTGCTGCTGGTTGCTTATGTTTGATAACTTATTTTTGTAATGCTGGCATAATAAAGCAGAGGCAAGAGATGGGGATTGTCTGAGGGTTGTGTTGGCTAAACTTGGTGATGATGGATGAACTTTAGGAAACAAGAATGAGAGGGCCTGCAATAGGATGGGTGAGGGCGAATTAAATACTGAAAACAACAACTACTAAAAGAAAGAACACTTTATTACCGGGATTGGTGATGTGCAGATAGTTCTCTGGTCTGGCGTTGCTATTGTTTCTCAAGTCAAGCTCTTATCCCAGGGTTATTCTGTCTCCTCCCCTATACTAACCTACGTAACCAATATGGGCCTGCCAACGGCTGTGAATGCGGTGCACATATAACTCTTCAAATAATGTCACTCTCTGTTATACATCTTCATGTGTTCCACCATTCGTGTTGTGTTGAGCTTTCTGAGAGCTTACCTAGCAGACCTCCCCGTTGTCACTCGTTGATCACCGATCGCTCAATCAAGGGGGACAACGCGTTGCCCCGATTTTAGAAGTCTTAGAGCTGAGACTAGATGGGCATGTGTCTCAGTTGAATGACCGCAAGGAAATCATGCTCTGCGGACCAAAGACAGACATGCTGTGAGTTGCCGATATCGTTCATGGCCAGGGCACCTCCTGCGAGCATGATATCAAGCTCGCAAAAGATAAGACCAGCAAGAATAAAAACAAGTCAGATGAATCTCTCTTCATGTAGTCTCCCTCCTGTATCATGAGGGGACAACCTCTCCTGACCGGAAACAGGATCTCAGGAGTAACAACTTGTGCGTGTCACCCACATGGACGTGACTATCTGCAACTGCCCAATATCCACATGAAACTTTGCGTGTGATAACAGATAACTGCATGTTGCACTTAAGTCCAGCAGAGACGTGAGTGCCAGCTGCCAACGAAGATGACACCAAGTCGTTACGCCTAGCCCAGCACACCATGCTGTTCTCACCTGATTGGAGACCGAAACTTCAACGAATCATCATCCGGTATGGTGTAGTGGCTAACATTTCGCGCTCTCATAACTTGAGGGATCAATTCCGCGGAGCCCAGGGTTCGATTCCCTGTACCGGAGACCTAGATCTTTTGCTTCCCTGGAGAGATGTCCCTACAGCGATGCGAAAGAGGGATATCTTTTTGGCCATGGGTGTGAAGAACTGTGGTGAAAGTGGAGGTAGTGTAGGTATTATCTGACACTCTTGTTCAGAAAGCAAAAGACAGATCTGGCCACAGACAGGCCTTATTTGGTCTATGCACTTGCTCGTAGAAAAGGGATTATCATGATAAGGAGCGACGAAAGGGTAGGGGGAATAAATAGGGGGAGAATAAAGAAACGCAGGCATAGACATCTAAGGATACAGATATGTCGCCCCTACCAACCCTGTAATATCTCATGTCGCAGTGATAGACGTACATGTCGTATATTTTAGGAGAAAGTTCAAGTGTATATAAACTCAGCATTCCACGTCGACTGAGGAACGCCGCCTCCTGCAGCTCAGTAATGTCGTGCGACGCAGATTCTGCTTGCTGCTGTCAATACAGCAAGAAGACTAACATTGTTTCATGCTGCGCGCTGAATGCCAGGCGTTGTGGGGCGAGTTTAGAGACGAGTTCCTTCTCTACAGAACTCAAGATTGAAAGACAGAGTTGAACGCAATTTCCAGAATGACTCTTATATAAACAAGGGAGACCATGCAGGCGAGTACAACCAGGTCGTCGCGGATACGTTTTGCATATCGCTTGCAAGTTGTTTGTCGGGGTGAATACCATGTTTGCGTCTAAACGGAGTTGTAGAGCGACATCGAAGACTGCTGTCAACCTCTCAGCCCGCTTGGACGGGGAAGGTAAAACAGCATGAGCTGTCTGTCCGCCCTTGATGGTGGTGAAGTTGATGTAGGAGTTGAGTCCGGAGTTGCCTAGTGGGGCAAGAACTCAATTCATCCGCTCCGAAACATCCTGCTCAGAACGGCAGGTTCCCCTCACAGGTAATTAATTGCGAAATTCACCTACAGAGTCTCTCTCTTATTTCTTGCCCATGACATACCTGCCTGCTCCTCCGTCTGTTGCTCGATCCAGTATATCGACAACACCAATTGCCAACGAGACAGGCTCTTACCATCTCTTCGATCACACATACCCGAATCATTGCGATCTATCAATAAAGAGAGTTAGATCATGACGCTGGCCTCTGACACTATCACCCACCAAGACGAGCTTGCTGGAAACAGCAAAAAGAGACTCCGGTACAGGGAATCGAACCCTGGGCTCCGCGGTACTTGATCTCTCAGCTTCGAAGATGAGAGCGCGAAATGTTAGCCACTACACCATACCGGATGATGCTGCTTATAATACAGGGGTCTGAAACGCGGGCTAGATCCGTCTCCGCAGGCTGAATCAGTGCCAGAAGATGTAAGCCGGTGCCCTTAACCATGAACTCGGCCATTGAGGCTTCAATCAGGAGAGCCTTCTTCCTCAAATTGAACAGTGGGTATCTCATCCTATCAATAAGATGTTCAGCGAGGAAATGAAAAACAAGGCATTCATGCGATGCCACAAGTACAGCCGCCGCTGGATGGGATGTGCGCTGTGTATGAGGACTTGTCCGAATATCGCTTTGCAACAACTATCCAGAAGTCCCTCGATAAGGACAAATGCAACAGCGAGTCTTGAGAAGAGGCTTGATGAAAAAATTGAAGTATTCAAGAAGGAGATGATGGTGGAACCGACGAAACCCAGGATACATATTCGTGGTCAGGCGCAACTAAACGCCTGAATGGATGTAACGACAACTCTGAAGCTGAGCGGCTTAGTCAACAGATTAGACCTCGAAGCACTAGCTCCGGTATGTCGAAGAAGCTGTAAGCGGCTCAGCAGGGTCTTTGCCTGCTCGAGACTGAGAGACTGGACTCGTCGATCTTTTCCATGACATTGTCATCAGATTACCTAGACAAGGACTTAGGGCAGAGGCGACTAAGGCCTGGGACCAAAGATTCGTGCTCTAAAGGCCATTTAGAAGACTTAATAGCAGCAGACACTTGTCCTGGGAATGAACGAGATAGACTGTAAACTCATTAAGAAATTTATATGAGATGCCTCGGCTGGGGATGTAACATTCAAGGATGTAAAGTGCGTTAGTCGATAGATTACCACTGACAGGCGATCCACAAGGAGATATAAAGGGCGCTGAAGAAATAGCAGCTGAGTTTACATATAGGTAGTAGGCAATTTAATTTGCAGTTGGTCTTGGATAACAGTGATTCATTCACAGTTATAGGTAAGTGCATCAATACCTTTCAAGTTGCCCAAGGACTGTGTTGTATGCCTTAGGCAGATAGGTCTTAGGATAAATTTAGGAAAAGTTTAGGATAGAGGTATTTTAAAAGGCCGTGTTTATTCGCTTCTTCCACTTCATTTTCCTTTTTCCCTCTACACCTCACATATCTCAACAAACACATCTCAACACACAGAGAATTCTACCAACTTAACGACCTTAACCCTCTTTCAAAAGCAACACACCTAAGACTTCAATATGTCTTCCCAGTCCATTGACTTGACTGGTGGCTCACCACCAACAGGTAAGTTAAATGCTTTCTTCTATACCTAAACTAATAAATAGACTAGCAGGCATACCTCCTCCTTTGGTAAAAAGAGAGCAAGCTCTACTACCAGATGCCATCCCTCAAAAACAGTCATCAGAACAGAACTATTACTTTCTATATCAAAAGGAGTGTCGTCTCGCTTGGATCAAGTACCTAGGCCTCCTAGGGAGGGTCAAGCTCCGCGAGGGGTTTGACGGGCTTCCATTCTTTTACGGAATGCCGCCTGAACCTTTGACGAAGCAGATCGACACAGGAAGAATATATATGATCCAGAAAGCGGCAACCAGCGACCCTAGGAATTCGCTGATAACACTCACTACAGTTTTGAACAGTCTCAGAAACAGGCCTCAGCAGTCCCATATCGCATGGGGCGTTGTCCAGCAAAAGCTGGCCAACTCGCGCCCGCAGCTTAATGCATCCGTCATAAATGAAAGCTTGATCTAGGCAATCAATACTTTCATTGAAGATCGGGATAAAATCAAGTACTGGGAGAGCGCAAGCTCAAGGAATCCCATGGTGCTTCTGCAATCAACCCAGACACCTTCCGGGCAGACTTCTGTACACAAAGTGATCCAGTCTGCGATGAACCGTCTGGTCGGAATCCAAACCCAAGAGGACGACCCACCAAGTTGTCCCGGATACGTTCTCCCCATGGCCTCCTTCGAGAGGGCTGTTATGAATGCGCAGAGGACGAAAGATGAGACCCAGCGCAGGCAATGGGCTGACATGTCCCTACGTTCGCTACGGAAGTTCATGGACGCGCAAAACAACCAAGCGGTTATCGATAAGATGATTGAGTTCCAGAAACATTATGAAGCTTTGGCGGCTCTGAGCTTGAAGTGAGCAAGAAGGGCAAGGGAAATGGGATCCGTGATTTGTGTTTACGAAGCGGACGGAAATAGGGAAAAGTATGTTCTTGACATGAAGACTGAGGGAGATATTTTGCTACAATGATGGAACGAGAATGAACAGTTGAGGGATGAAAGAAAGGGCTAATGAAAGTAGTTGAATTGATGATTTGGAAGGCCATATCTTGATGCTGTGATACCGCCAAGAGTGCTAAATATCCTGTAACACTGGCCAGAAGAGACAAAAGCTTAGGATGACTATCCCAATAAAATGGAGATTGAGGCAAGTTGAGTAGACCTTTATATTACCTCGATCCAAGGTGCCAGATGCTTTCTCGCACTCTGAGGAAAGGTATCTTCTCCAACGTACCCTCACCATCTCCCCAAATAAAGAGCAAATTTCCATCCTCAAGCACTAAGGACACACTTTAAAGTCCCTGCGCGTCCTCCATCCGGATTTGCCAGAGCGACGTAGGCTCAATAACCTGGCAAGGCAAGTTGAGATGGAAAATGGCGTCTCCATGAGATCTAATGGTCTCCCGAAGCCGCTCATGCTTGGCTCTGAGCTCCACCGAATGGAGCTTAGCAACATCCTCCCATGCCTGCAAGACTTGTTGGCTGATCTCCAAGTCCCAAGTTCCTCGCCAGGTAATATGCGCGTAGTGCTTTGCCCTGGTGTATATGAATGCACAAGCTCTCCCCGCCCCTCCATTCCAGAGTACCATAGTAGTCAGGTTCGGCATTCGCAGTACGAGCCTGGCTGCTGCGATAAGAAGGTTATCGATGCGCTGCTTCTGTCCATTTATACTCTGAAAGAGAAGACTTGATGTCAGGGAGAGAGATTGTAGTTGATCCCATGTCCATTTTTTCTCGCATGCCTTGAAGAAGTTCATAGCATCGATAAAGAATGAGACAGAGAGTTCATCAAGTCTCAGACTTGCCTGAGCGATGCTCTTCATGTTGTCGGGGAGATCGGACTCCGATTCGAATCCCAGAGGGTCGAGCAAAACACCATATTCTTGAATGATTTGATGGACGCTCTCTGTGAGATATTGTTTAGAATCCTGAAATAGGATCACTCTTTTGAGAGTGTTGGACATGTGCGCGCCAATCAGCGCCAAATCCCCTAGAACAACCTGATTAGCATAACAGCTCATTATCAAGAAGACAGCGCTCCAGTATTGGTAGGTTCACGTACATAGATCCGGATATAAACTTGCATATTCTTCAGGCCATGGTTCGTAAACAACATCCGTTAGGCGGCTGAATCTGGACAAAACGTTTTTGAATTCCCGAGGCCTAAGATGATGGCGGAATTGTCGACGGATCATGAAACGGGTAACTGCGTTAACCTCGGGAATATATGCGTCGGGAACATAATAATCAAAGTCGATACGCCCGAAAAGCTGGTCATGTGCGGTGAAAGGTGGAGGTTTGGTCTGGACACCATTTTCCCAACCGCGCTCGGGGTCGTGCCAGTCACTATGGCTTGCTTCCATGGGGATGACTGGGTCTCGGGCATAAGGAGCATCGTGCTCGTCGTTGAAACGAAAGTTCTTGAACCAGTGCTTCGAGTCACTAGCAGACGATGCGTTGAGTTCCAGTGTCAAAGGGGTTGTCGTGTTCCACGTGCTGAGAATGATCAAAAGCTTTATGACCGCCTCACCCATAAGACGGCTATTTGTGACGACATCAAACTCTCTCTCACAAGAAGAACAGCCGTATTCGGCCAGCTCAACATTGAGATAGATGTGCCTCACAAGGTCTCTCTGTCGAATCACTGCTTGCTCAAAGTCCTCTAGACACGATGGCCGGAGGCTCAGCTTGGCCATATTTCTCGTTCCGATAACGCTTTGCCACTCTTTAGACACCGAGGCCAAAGCAGACCAACGAGGATTTCTCTGATCGACTATCGTGTTTAGAATGTTGTGGCGAATCTCTGGTGGTAGATACGACCACCCGAGGTAGCCTGAGCTGCGAAGTCTCATTTTGCGCTGCTGAGCTGCTTGGTTGGCTATGAGGAGAAGGTAATGATTTTGTGTGCGATGAGCTGGATCATCTTGACCGAAGAGCAACAGGCAGGGCCTTTATTGAGAGCTCTTGGAGGCTGTCATCAGGACGTCTAGCTTTTTCAGTCAAAAACTAGATCATAGGCGCCAGTGAGGGCAAAGAGTCTATTGCCAATATGTGTTGATATGTTTCTTCTTGACCGTTGTGTGTTGGGACTGAAGCCTCTTTAAAACTCAACCTTATTGTCACAGAGAAGGTAATGAAGGAGGAAACAAGAGGTCAGTCTGGTGAATCTATTACTTCTGAGAAAAGCTCTTCAGAGTAAACTTTTGTGTATCGAAGCTTAAGTGTATAGATTAAGGTCATGATACTTGTGACGAGTGCTATTGGTTTTGCTGTGATAGGGTTCAAAGGTGTAATCTAGAGAAGTGGTCACTTTGACTCTGTTCGAATGTAACATAGTAGTAAGACGAGGCATCTCATTCAGCAGTCTCAAGACCTTGGGAATATGGTTTCAGGAATCTGCTAGCACATCCAACTCAGTATGTGCATCAAAATTTGGCCTGATCATTTGCGGGAGAGGAAACTCTCCACAGGGCGGATAAGCATACGGTGGCGATGCTCAGCGTAGGCATGATCCTGTTTCGAACAATGGGCGTTCTGAATAATGACAGCTGCCAAAAGTTGTAAGTCTATGGAGGTTGATAAGTTGACGTTGTTATGCTGTAAGCCAGTCTCATCTCCATATTGATATCTCAGAACAGAGGGAAAACATCAACATAATGGATGAATGAAGAAACTTCCGAACGAGGGGCAAGCTCCATGACAAGGATCATGATCCAAAAAGAATGTCAAACCAGTCAGCGTCAACCCTAGAACCGAGTTCTTGGCGAATAACGAGAAAGGATACGACTCGCGAATGCGAAAAACGAGGGTGGATGACGATACGTGATACGCGGACAGTCTCCAGTCCAGTTAGGCCAGGTAAGCCTAGTAGGGATATACTTGATTGGTTGAACAAGCAACTTAACAATAAGAGTATTCGCATTGAATAATTCTGCCTAGGAATGATTGCTATACGAGTATAACGTACGTATAATCGTATTGTACTGTAGCCTGGACGATTGGGTAGGGGCCGAGGTCGAGTGTGTGCAGAAATGACGAAGGACCCGATGATCCATAGGATGTTACGTCATTTTATTGTAGTTGGAGTTAGGGGTTCAACTCACCTAAAAAAGGCTACCTACCTAAAGAGCTGTCATCAATTCGGCCCCCAGAACCGCTGACCACTGAATCCATCTGTACATTGGCACCATATTTGAGTACCAACCTTACATCCACAAGAAAACAAGAAACAAGTCGAGAGCTCTTGGCTTCTGCTACGTCGTTCATTTCCTTCCGCTCCTTATTTCAGGGTTATACTTGCATTCTCCCTCCTCGTCTTATCTCCCCTCTCTGCCTTGCCTTATCATATCGTCTTGACGACTACGAAGCTGCGACAGCTCAAGACAAGACAAGACCACTTTAGGGTATTTGCTGTCGTGTCTCACATTCTCAGACTAAAACGTCACGACCTGGCTCGTCTATTTTTGTCGCTTTCTGTTTCCGATTGTTTCGTCTTCTTCCGCGGGCGCCGAGTTGACAACTACTGCCGAAACTCTATCTTCGTCTCCAAGGCGAGGTCGAACAAATCCTCACCATTTACCACGACATCTACGACGATCATACGAATATATACTACACATATCTACGAATATGAGCTCTTCAATAGATCCTCTTCCCAATGGGAATGGTCACGCTGGCGATCATGACCACGTTATACGCCCTCGACCGCGCAAACCCAAACATTCACAAGTCTCGGAGGTTCTTCGCATGTCAACAGCAGAAGATAGCGAAGGACATCTCATGCCCGATAATTTGAGCACAGGAACTGCCAGTGGGTTGACTAGGTATGAAAGAACCTCCAAACCATCCGCTCAAGCTAATTGTATACAGCGGTCGTTCCACGCCTGTCCCAGAGAATGCGCCTCCATCCGTTAAAGTCCTCTCGACAGTTCGAAAGCAAACCCGCGCAGAGCAACGTCGCCGTATATTTCCCACGATCGAGTTCGCATCGCGTGTTAGTCATTTCGACCCCGAAAGCGATTACCGAGACTTCCATGGCTTCTTCAACCTCTTCTGGATTGGCCTTGCCATCATGGGTATCACCTCAATGCTACGCAACCTCAAAGATACTGGGTTCCCGCTGAGAGTGCAAATATGGGGTCTCTTCACAGTCAAGCTCTGGCATCTTGCCATTGCCGATTTCCTTATGGTCGCAACGACAGCTGTCAGTCTGCCATTGAACCGTGCAGCTCGAAGTGCAAAGCCCGGTAGCTTTTTGTCTTGGGATAAGGGTGGAATAGCTATTCAGAGCATCTACCAGGTCGCTTGGCTTTCGCTTTGGATCATTGTGCCCTTTCACTTTGAATGGACCTGGACGTCGCAGGTTTTCTTTCTCTTGCATACCATGGTACTACTGATGAAGATGCACTCGTACGCCTTCTACAACGGACATTTGTCGCAGACGGAGAAGCGACTGTACGCTCTCGACAACCCCTTCTCGCCCCACGATCGACGACCAGCCTACCAATATCCATCCACCGATAGTGTCACTAACGGCGAGGCTACTGCTTCTGGTAGCAAGAAGCGTCGTCGAAACCGTAGCAAGAAGCGACAGCAAGCCAAACGCAGCAACAGTGATGGAAACAAGAGCAACGAGGAGGTGGATGCTGTTAACAACAACCTTTTGGTACCTAGTCCTGTCGCGAGCGGTAACAACAGTGCCGACGAAGTCGATGAGTTGCGAGAGGATCTTGCCCGTGAGCTTACGAGTCCCATTGGCAACGTCACATATCCAAACAACCTCACATGGTCCAACTACATGGACTATCTCCTCTGTCCAACACTCTGCTATGAGATCGAATATCCTCGAATGTCCCGAATCAACTGGATTTCTCTCATTTCCAAGATCATTGCCACTTTTGGTTGCATCTTTCTCTTAACAATCATCTCAGAAGATTTCATTCTTCCCGTTCTTATCGATGCCTCAGAGCGCCTCGATGCCGTTCCCGCAGTATCATCGCTTTCGGAGAAGTCTCTCATTCTGGCCGAGACTATCTCGTGGCTTCTCTTCCCCTTCATGCTTACGTTCCTCCTCGTTTTCCTTGTCATCTTCGAATATGTCCTCGGTGCATTCGCTGAGATCACTTGCTTTGCTGATAGACATTTCTACTCTGACTGGTGGAACTCAACCGACTGGATGGAGTTCTCGCGCGAGTGGAACATCCCTGTGTATAGTTTCCTTCGTCGTCATGTCTACAGCGCCTCTCGGCCTCGCATTGGCAGAGGAGCTGCCACAGCGTTGACATTCCTCATCTCTGCTATTGGCCATGAGATCGTCATGGCATGCATCACCAAGAAGCTCCGTGGTTACGGCTTTGTGTGTCAGATGCTTCAACTACCCATCGTGATGCTCCAACGTACTCGATGGGTCCGTGGTAAGAAGACCCTGAACAATGTCTGTTTCTGGGCATCAATGGTTCTCGGTCTCAGCATGGTATGTCGCAATCCCCAACAATCATGCCAAACTGCAACTAACAACTTCACAGATCTGCGCTCTCTACGTTCTCGTGTAGTCAACCCAGGCTCTAGAAGAGTATGCTGGTCATACTGAGCGCTTTATCGCATGTAACATTTGTACAACACCAACTTTAGATACATACCCCATCTCAGTTCCGTCTTGCGATCCTGTACATATGGGCTTTTAGAATTGGAAACGAGGAACGGACTAGGTACAAGAGGGAATGGACTACTTCGACATCCTATAAAGATAGATTATATACCCCCATAGTAAATTTGATTGAGTCATTGCCTCAATGCGTAACCTGTCCTCAGTGAGTAAAACATTGGACCTTGATACAGGGTGTGAAATAAATTCAGCAAAATATATCCTAAACTGGTACTAAATTAAATAAACTCAGCAAAATACATCCTCAACCTGTACTAAGTTAAGTTGGCTCAGCAAAATATACTCTAAACTTATACTAAGCTACCTGAATCTTCTTGTCATTTACGATAAATTCACACATTGACATCACATTAAGGACGAGGACAACATTGTTCTATACCATTTCCATTTCGCGTCTACTTCATCTCTCTCGTAATCATAGAGCTAACTAGAGTTACACCCCGTCCTCCTTTCAAGACTGGGGAATGAATTATGGCAGAATAAGCGGCTGCTCAAATCCGATAAGCCCGCATAAAAACCAGAAGACAGAAAAAAGACCATGTTGCTCATAAAAACCGAAACCCTTCAACTCCATTGACTTTTTATGGTATCCCGTTTAGCGTGCGTGGTCATTTAGTCAACCTCCTCCATGGCGCTGTCACCAGTGGCGGCGGCAGGAGCATCGGTGGCGGCATCAGCCTCAGCAGGGGCAGAGTCATCCTCCTCAATGTTGAGGCCAAGCTGGACAAGCTTGTGGATGCGGTCGGCGAAACCAGCGGGCTCGTCAATGGTGAAGCCAGAGACAAGGAGAGAGGTCTCGAAGAGAAGCTGGACGATGGACTTGACAGTGCGGTCGTTCTCGCCGTCAGTCTCAACCTTCTTCTTGAGCTCCTGGACGATAGGGGACTTGGGGGAGATCTCGAAGGTCTTCTTGGAAGACATGTAGCTGGACATGGAAGTGTCACGGAGAGCCTGGGCCTTCATGATACGCTCCATGTTGGCGGACCAACCGAACTGGCCAGTTCGGATAGCGCAAGGAGAGGTGCCGAGCTTGTGAGAGACGACAACCTTCTCAACCTTGTCGCCGAGAACATTCTTGAGGGCCTTGGCGAGGCTCTCGTATTCCTTCTCCTCAGTCTCACGGGCCTTCTTCTCATCCTCGGTCTCCTCAAGCTCGAAGTCCTTGGTGATGTCGACGAGCTTCTTGCC